ATTTGTTCTTCGTTCTTGAACTTGCACTTGATTTCTTGAACTTGAACTTGAAGCTTGAAACTTATGGAGAAATTTGCAGCGTTTGATCCACGAGCTCTTTCTTGCTTCTTGTTGTAACTTCTGGTCCCTTTTCCGAGTTATGAAGACCCCTATTTATAGTTGTGGAAGGGAAGAGTTGTGATAAGAACAAACTCTTTCCGACCAATCAAATTGCAGTGTGACATGGCCGCATTTGATTGGCCAGAACATGTCACTTGGACACGTGGCCCGATTTCATTGGCCTTTTAGTGTGACTTGGCATTCCTTGTCATTTTGACACGTGGCATGATCCTATTGGCTCTTCCGTTTGACTTGGAACGCCACGTCATTTGACACGTGGCACCAAACTGGGCCTCTAGGAAGATGACATCTTGGGCTTAATGGAGTAGGCTCATCACTTTAGCCCAATTAAATGGGCTACCCCAATAGATTAAGATTTATTTATTTAATCCATATATATTGAACTTATAATTAATCCAATTATATTAGCCCAATAAATTTATTTGAATTAATATATCTTGAATTTTACAATATAGTCCCGATTATTTTACGGATTTAATTTTAATAAAATTTATATACCTACAGCAATGATTTCACTGTTATTTGAATTATTAGTTAATCTATAATAATTGCTTATAAATTATATTATTTAAAATTTTATGAAATTGTTTTAATGGAAATTACAAATTAATAAAAATAAGAGATGGAATTTGTTTAATGGAAATTAAAAATGAAAGATAATAATATAATATAGAAGAGAGAAGAAGAATATAAAAAAGTTTGGGGGAAAAAATGGGCGAATGATTGGAGTAAGTTGTCCCAAAAATGGGGAAATTCCCATTTTGGGTACCAAAAATGGGATAAAGGTTGGAGATGCCCTGAATCTCTCGGAAGCCCTCATTTTCCTTCACTCTTGGAACATAACTCCATCAATTCTAATTTTTTTGAAAATTCAACTGCTGCTGCTGCCAAATTATAGGTTGAAAATCCACTATAGGTTGAATTTATTAACGCTGAAAGCCAAATTGATAGACATAAATAAATGATTTGTCAATGCATGCTTGGTTCATTCTTGGGGCTGTTGCTGCTCCAAACCATGCAGCCAAGCTTTATAGCCACCAACTTACCATTCTTTTAATCTATTCACATCTAAGAGTAATATTTGCGTCCAGCATATCTCTAAGAACAGTATTTCAAATTCCACCTAAATATAAATTCATTTCTCGAGTCTAAATTTTGCTCGCCAAGCTTCATGCATGGCTTCAAGGAAGAGATAAGCTACTTTGTCCAGGAAACTGATTCTGAAGTTCAAGTAGGTGAAGACATCAGTGACAGCTCTCCGCATTGCTCTACCTCACAGTTCAACCCAGTGAATCTAGAGCGAGAAACATTACTAATTATAGTACAAGAAACTACAAACTTTGTAGGAGTATGTTGCATTGTTGGATTACATACAGACAGCACCTCCAGATACATGTTGTAAGGCTACAAATTTCCGACAAAACTTAGCTATCACTACCATTGGAGTTCAAAAAAAGCAATGAAAGCTCACAAAGGGGAGCAAATGGTTCACATAAAGAAGACGATTCTTCACCCTTCACACCTCCAGTCCTTGTGTTTATACAAGGTCTACGGACAATCACGTAGATATGCGTCTCATGTAAGTATCTTCATGCACAAAAACTGGTTCCTGACTGGTCTGTGGAGGAATTTGTGGGTGTCCCATTGCAATGCCACCTTGACTTGGTACTGGTGGATGCCATGGATCATTGATGTTCTTTGCAGATACCAAGGAAATGTAATAGATGATTCCAAGAGCAACACTGGCAAGGGACAAGACAGCAGCTCCAGCAAATACTCCAGGCTTTACAACATAGCAATAGTAGTTGCCAAAGTACAGGCTCTCTTCACCATGCTGATCATTCAGTGCTGCGCCCGTTAGCAATAATAGAAATGCTATGACGAATGTAAACCTGCATAAGCCGCAAGTTTTGGAGACCTTTATTAAGGCTTCTTCAGATGGTATGTAAGATCAAATTGGTCCACTGACTCCACCAGAGAAATAACTTTTGATAGTATATTCCAATGCATATACAACAACAACCCAGTAATAATTTCACCATATTCCAATGCATATGACCAAGATAAATACGGCTGAATACATACGGAGACACTTAAAGTTGGCACGATTTTTCATTTAGAAACCTGAACTTAAGGGTGTTCCTATTGAGGACTTATACTACCCGAAACTTATTCCAATTGAGCACTTTTTTGACAATCAGCCAAACTTACAAAGTTTGTGCAATGCACTCGCTGCTGATGTGGCGAATGACGAATAAAAAAAAGACATTATTTTGAGTAAAAAAAAGGGAAAACTATGTTAAATTTATTTAATAAACAAAATAAATCAGTGGCATTGATGCTCTTCACTATTTTTATGTGTGTTCTTGTTCCAAGCACGATTTTAATACAATTTTTTAAGAGAAACTCCTCCAAATTTGTTATAACTTTTGCTAAAGATTCCCCACGACGACCCGAAGACAACCCCAATATTAATTTCCCAAACTTTCATCAAATCAAGTAACTCATTTTAAACCTTCAAGCTTTTTAAAGACCCATTAATGATGCTTTCATTTAGTCTCAGTTCTCTGCTTCTTCTTTTGCAAACTATGTAAGCAAAATCAGTGCAACAAGATTTCAATTTGTAAACTATGTAAGCATGAGCCGCCGGTTGCTTTTTCAATTTCGAAATCAGTGCAAAATTAGTGCAACAAGATTTCAATTTCTTAGGGTTGNGGGGGGGGGGGGGTCGTTGGTTTTTTGGAGAGGATGAGCCGTCGGTTTCTCTCGCCAGATTCCGGCAGTGAAGAGACAACTGGCAGATCTGTTTCGTTTTTGAGGGAGAAGAAGAAGGAATTAAAAAATAAAAAATAAAAATAAAAATCTATTTTTTGGAGTCTTCACGCGCCTATATCGGGTGAAACTCACATTATATGCCAACTCAGCAAGAAGTGCTCAATTGGAATAAGTTTCTGGTAGTATAAATGCTCAATAGGAACACCGTTGAGTTCAGGTATCTAAACAAAAAATCGTGCCAACTTTAAATGCCTCCGCATGTATCCAGCCGATAAATACAATATTAGAGAAAGAACTGTTGGTTTGAGGGGCAATGATATCTCAAGGTCCAGCCACAATTTAAGGTTCAATGGCTTCAGCTAGACCACATTTCTGGACTCGCAACAAGATATCTTGTGACCTAATAGGACTGCATTCCCAGAAGTTAAGAGTTTGAGGGGGAAAAAAGGAAAAGAAGAAGATAAGAAAATATGCTCCTGCCCACCTCCCTTGCACGTAACCCCCTTAATGCTGTGCATTGGAACTTGTATCTGTAGGCCCAGTAGGGTACCATTGGTTGGTGAAGTAATAAGAACAATATGGAATATTTTTAATCGGATTAATTACTGTCCTTTAAAAGAGGAGAAAAAGGCCAACACTGTTAAAAAGTACTATATATCCACAAGCCAAAACAAATGCTAAAATTTTGATACTTCCAAGAAGTTTGTACATGCAGTTGTTACAAGTACAAGAGCCAGCGTTACAGATGTAAGGCAAGCTTTTGGCTTCAACAACGTTGATAGATATTTTATCATACTTCTATATATAAGACAGAATAGGTCTAACCTTCCTTCTTCAGTCAGGATTTGAACATCCTAAAGTAAATATCAGAAATATTTAAAATAGTGATTGGTTTAAATTAATACTGATATCAATTGGCTTTTTCCTTTCTCAAAAATTACAATAAAAATGGTGATGTGAAATGGACAAAATCGCAGAGTAAGCTTGTCAAATTCGGAATGTGGGAATAACGAAGGTCTATTTTGCCTTTGACTGCAGATATATAAGGTCTCTCTTCCCAACACAAAAAAGGCAGGAATTCCATGGAAACTACAGGACAACAATTATCTGTTATTCGGGTCAGCTTCCATTTGATCCACTACAATAATCAACGACTGAACTTGAATTTAATTAACAGTAAGCCAAATTACAATGATAAGAAGAAACAAATAAATACCTTTTGATCTAAATGTATTGCAGTAATGACTACTGAACTTGAAATTAGTTATTACTTCATAACCAACTTACCAGGATACAACAAAACATAGTAGTGCTAGTGACCGATTAGATCCTGACTGATATTGACGGCAACAGACACATCCACTTGCTACGTTGACAATTATTTGAGCAACCATAAGAGCCACAGCAGCAACCAATCCAAGGCCCAGTGCAGGACTCCTTGGATATACACATTCTGAAGGAGAGGGAAACTGGACCTGAGAACCCTGAAGAATAATTGAATAGTACTATGAATTAGTCATGCCGACTCTCTATGAAAGCAAGGATAACGTAAACTCTCTTTACCCCTATATTCTAAGGACTCAAAATTCCCAACAGCAAACATGAAATGAAAGTAACTTAAATCCTGTGACAATCCTTAGCAAATGAAATTCAGCATGCAACCAAACAACCATAAAAGATCTGTTTTCTTAGTCCATTTGTGCTCTCTCCATCTACCAACCCCACCTGTAAAACTCCTCCAATGTATTTATGAATGGTAGCAGGGCAACGGGTGATATGATCTGAAAGCCAATATAAGCAAACAATCTCCTCCACTCTCCACTGTTATGTGCCAATTGTCCCACATGGATCAAAAAGAGAAATATTTATGGATTTATAGGCCAAATGGGTTCTACCACCTAATAGATTAGTCTTTTGGGTTGGGTTCTCCTTTTTGGTCTATAACATCCCCTAAAATTCTTAAAATTCCCTCCGCCCTACAATACCTCACCCATAGGCTTGTTGTATGGGATGGGGGAGAAAGTTAGCAGGTTGTTACTCATGGAAGAAAGAGACACCCAAGGTGCAATTTCTGCCCAGGTTTGAACATTCAAACCATGCAAATTCAGCTGAATATGCCCAGACTGAACCCAAAGAGTTTTGCAAAGACGAGCAAATTTAATCATAAGAATCCAGGCTTTAACAGTTGCAGTAGAAATGATGTGGGTTTCCTTAAATTGGCAATCGCATGAACGCTAAGTTCTACTAGGAACAAACATAGCAAGAGCATAATGGAATTTCAGCTCAAATTTGACCGCACCTAATTTCCCTACAAAAAATGAAACTTTAATCTCGTGGGAGCAGCTTGGGATGCTATCTTTACAGCTGATAATCAGAGGACCAGCAAGAGAACATATGGAAGCTGGTGTTAATTGTCCATAGCGAATGGAGAGGAAGTAAGTGCACCAACCGTTACTCCATTTTCCACCACCAACAAAATATAGAATGTGCTGCTTAACTCATTTAGATTAACTAGGAACATCAAACCACAATATTAAAGCAGCTGCTATTTATTAAAGTTCCCTTTGTGGCGAAGATCCAATAACAAAGAGAAGGGCAGAAAATGTTATTTAACCCTCCATTTATTAGGATTCTTTGTTTTAGACTATAACATTTGATTGGTTTTTGTATTAAAAGAATAACACGATGAAACCATTCGCATAAGCAGGTCATTTGTAACAAAGATTTGAACTTTATTATAGAGCAGAGTATACCCATAGCTATTTTCCAGATTAAATCATTTCAGACTGAACACCAAGCTAATCAGATGATAGTAAAAAGGAAGGGGGGGGAAAGCTCGATATGAAACAAAAATAAAAATAAAAAAGAATCATGGGGGAAAAATTACCTTAATTCTAGTGGCCTCAGCAGCAAAACCAGTAACAGCAGAAAGCAACCCTAGAAATCCCACAACAGCACAAATTACTAACACCTTCCTTTCCATGGCCTCTTTCTCTCTTGTTTATCTACGCCAGAAGGAAAATCACAGAAACTGTCGGTGACTCACGCAAGAAAAACTCTCTTTGACTGTAACTTGAATGGAATAAAAAGCAAGAAATAGTTTTATTTCTGGAAGCAGAAGAAAGGGGGGGAAAGTGTAGTGAAGTAGAGACCAAGCAATGTAAAGCTTGTGAGTTGGACGAAAAATTGTCACACAGTGGAGAGTGGAGACAATGACAAGTGACGATATACGAGAGAAGTTATGGAAATTAAATGTCACTACTCTTTTTTAAAACAAAAGTACTGACAATACGATAAAGGATTGGCAAATCAAACAGTACTTTTCCAAGATGATAAAGATAAACTAATAGCTACTGCCTACTTGTAAATAGAGCTGTATTGTGGGCTGGACCCAGCCCGGGACTGCCTGCGAGATCACGGGCCTAATGGGCCAAACGGTCCGGGTCAAACGGGCCAGTCTCAAACGGTCTTTGAGGCCCACTTTGGATCGGTCTTATACAAATAAATCGCGAGTCCGGGACCGGCAGGCGGGCCTGAGCCGGTTCAACCGGGCCCAACGGTAATTTTTTTTTAAAAAAAGACCAACGGCTAGAAATTAAAAAATGTTATGAAATATAACTCAAAGTAACAATATTGAACAAGGACATAAAGCAATTTAGTAAAACATGAACAAGAAATGGAAATAGAGAGAAGGAAGAGATTTTCTTCTTCAATTGTGTGTATTTTCCTATCTATTACAAGGCATTTATATAGGTATAAAAAGTGAAGAAAATATGTCATGGAATATGTCATTGAACATACAAAATATGTCATTAAGCATTTGAGATGAAGATCATGGAAGAAGAGTAGACATCCACCATAATGTGATATTTATCATAACACTCCCCCTTGGATATCCAAAGATAATGTGCTTCGTTAAAACCTTACTAGGAAAAAACCTATGGGAAAAAAATCCTAGTGAAGGAAAAAAAGTACACATGTTTAAAAATACGCCTTTTGGTTGCCTCGTTAAAAACCTTGCAAGGAAAACCCAGTGGGACAAAACCTTGTAAGGGAAAAAGAGTACAACGCGTATTAACTCCCCCTGATGAGAGCATCAATTCACATCCTTGATCATTCACATCCCATTCTTGTACACTAGTTTCTTGAAGGTTGATGTTGGTAGAGATTTGGTGAACAAATTAGCCATATTATCACTTGAAAGAATCTGTTGCACATTGATATCACCATTCCTTTGAAGATCATGTATGGAAAATAACTTTGGTGAAATGCGATTTAATTTGTCCTAACTCCTTTTATGAATCCTCCCTTCAATTGGGTTATGCATGTTGTATTGTCTTCATACAAAAATCACGTGCTTACAGCTGCCCCTCTTTGCCCGAAGACACGAAGGGTTTTCGCGCAAAGATAAAGCGGGCGATTTTTGCTCGTCTGAGTACTCCGTGTGAAGCATTTTTTGAAAAAGATTTGACCGAACCTTTGCTTCAGAGGTTTCCTACATATTCTGGGCTGAACAGGAATCAGGTCAATGTAGTTCGGAAAATTTTGGTAGCTGGGACCACTGTGTGACTGTAGTTCTTGCTGCTGTTGTGCGCTGTTGCTTGCTCCTGTAGGATGCTACTGCTCACTGATCTCCTTGTTACATTGTTCTTGAAAGGAAAAACAAGAAGTTAAGCTAGAGTGTGAGATCTCTTCTATCTTCAACTTGTTCTTGTTGCCTTGCTTTCTTGTCGGCTAATGCTTTCCTCTGATGCCTTTATTTTGTGAACTTTGGAGATGATGCTGGTCCTTCGCCTTTTCTGAATGCCAGTTTTCATCACTTCGCTTGACTCGTTGGGAACATACCCTCTTCTTCAAGCCTTTCAATTGTTTCTTCGGCGGTATGGCTTTTCATCAAAATTGTTACGTTGAGCATGCTATAATGTTTCCGAACTGCTTCTTCTGAGACACGTTCCTTCTTTCTTTTGAATGTGCGCTTGCTTTGGCAGCCTTCTGCCTCTTGGCGCTGGGGATTTTATTGTTTCCTGCTTGGGGATCTCTGTTGTAACCTTCCGTCTTCAGGCGGGGCCACTAATTCCGAAATCTAGAGCTAAATGTATTCCCGCATTATACTGGTGGGCGACCTAGAACTTAAATGTATTC